TATCTGAATTACTTTGAATAAAGCTGGAAATTATGTCCCTTAAAATAAATAAACAAATAAGGCACCAATGTTTTTGTAAGATATTTACATCTTTTAAGGACATTCGGTAGACTGATTCCCCACTGTTGGTTCAACCCCAAAACTTGTTTGTATTCAAAATTAATTATGACAATGCATATTTATATTGAAACAAACTATGATAAAGGGAATTATATTATATAACAAAGGGCAAGGTCACCAGAGTTTAACTATGTTATTAATTATTCATCAAACAGGGCCCGAGTCATATATTGCCAGATATAAACCTTGGCTTCAGCCAATCAGATGGCTAGATTCACACTGGTCATATTATAATTTTGTTTCAATATTTTGGACCAGCTTGATTTTTTATTTAATTGTTCATTTTCTAATTTGTTGTCACAACCTTTGATATATATTGAAATACAGTGAATGCTGACTGTATGATTACATAGTTTTTATGAGATATATGTCAACTACTAAGTAATTACACTTTTATTGTATAAAGACAATTTTAGCTGAATTCAAATTTTAGGACACATTCACCCATTGTACATCAAACTCATTAAAATAAATGTAAATTTTTGAAATGTTTTTAACATATTAGGATTTTTTTATCCATGAAAATATACAACATTTTTTCACTGAGCAAAATTTTCGAAAAATAATTTCACCATAGAAAACTGTGCAAACCAAATTTTAACCAATTTCCATAAACATTTTTTTTTTAATTTTTGGTTTAATGGCATGAAACTATAAAAATGAAAGTAGGAAGAAAAAAAATTCAACTCCAACTTTTCCACTGCATCACTTGCTACAGCCTCCACAGATGAACATGAATAGAAAGAAACAGTGTCAACAGATGTGTTAAATATAAATAAATAACAGAACAAAAGAACATTTTCTGTCCAGACAACTAATAAATTGGATCTCATACTATTTAAGGTCTTGTGTCTTGTGAAGTCACAGTTGGAGAGCAGACATATAGAAGTACTATTGTTACATCTAAGCCTAAAGATGCTGAGCAAGATGCTGCACGAGTTGCCCTTGTGGAACTGGGTCAATCTGGAGACGAAGAGCCAGTGTCACTGTCTGTTGAAGAATGTATGTGAAACTTAATTTCTTCTCGGATTTGCTCTTAGGGTTTAGTGTCAGGAAGTTGCCATATACCTGGGGCTGGCTGACACCAGAAAAATGTCCTGCATGTGGGTTGTGAGAGAAGTGAGGTTTTTTTGCAAAAGAGATCACCATAGATACAAGCAACTTTATTTCAATAAATTAGTTTATAACTACTCTCCCCCAATTAATAAAATATATTATTTGCGTGGTTACATTAGTTGATGTGTTAATTGCTTTCTGTAAACTTCATGTTTATTCCCTGCTGAATCATTGTGTTTCTTAGTCCCCCTGCAGACACAGTCCGAGAACGGGGACTTATGAATTGACCTCTGTTTGGGAGTACATGTGTGCGCCTGTATCTTAGACATTCGAGACAATAGAACACTAGACATTATGGGTCCCTGATGCACATCATTTTGTCTTTCAGATCGGTTTCAAAATGGCTGACTTGTGACCATTTTGTTTTAATGAATGCGATTCTAGAACCATATCTCTGACATGCTTTGACTGATGTTCAAAATTTATATATTCATTTATACATCATGTCATTATTATACAGAGGTATTGGTTTGACAGTCCGATTCAAAATGGCTGATGGTAGCTATTTTGTTTTAATTGTTGCTGTTCCAGAACAATATCTCTCAATATGGACAAGTACTTACTATATTACTACAAGACTATATAACTTAGATTTGATAACTAACAGGGACTGTGCCATGCATGGCTTCTTAACTTTGACTTTTGTCTGGGTAAAATAATTCTGAAATGTGTATTTTTCAGCATACTCAACCTTTACCAGTCTGTCATTTTTTTCAAATGAAACGTCTTTCAATTATGTTAAAACATGTTATTATAATGTGCTTTTTAAATATTACTAACAGTCCTAATGTTAATGTAAGTTGTATATTTATTGCAGATTTTGTTAACTACAAAAATGTTCTCCAGGAACATTGTCAGAAAACTGGTTTACACTCTCCAGATTATGAAACAACAAAAATCAAGGAAGATCCACCACAGTTTATCGCCTGGTTGACATACAAGGCAATAGGGAAATCGAAGAAATATTTATCTGAAAGCCTAATTCATACTTCTGCAAAAAAGGCTGAACAGAGTGCTGCGAAAGTTGCATGCCTAGATTTGAAATTAGCCCTGCCAGAGCCCATTAGAATTCTACCTAAGCCCATGAAGTCAACACAACCTACTCCCCCTAAGGAAAAAGAATTGATGCAACCACCAGACAATTCTGATGAAAAATCCCAAACTCATTCACCACCAGCAGGGAATCAGCAGCATGATGGTAAGTTTCATCCATATTAGCCCAGTAAATTATAGCACTGATTCAAGTAGAACATGAGATAATTGCTAATACAAAAAAGATAATTCAAAACATCCCAAGAGTGTGTGTTTGTTACCAAGACATTAGTGTATTATCTGATGTTTTATAAAGTTTGATGATATAGACAATGTTAATGATTAAAATGAAATGCTTTTTCTGTTGAAGTTAATGTTGGGAGATATATATTTCAATATTGTTCATAAGTGTCTGTATACTGTAAAACATGTCTTTTTAGCTAGACTGTTATTTTAGCTAATTTAGCTAATCTATAATTTCGCTAATTCAAGATGTCACCAATTTAAAATAAAGTATATTCTCACAATGAGATTGTTGACACTTTAGCTAAATTAAGATTAAGTTAATTCATGTATTGAGTCAAATTCGCTAAAATGGCATGTAGCTATTTAAACATGTTTTACAGTATATCTCTATAGTTAGCTATACGCTCTTCTTGTCATTATTTCTCGGTTTTATTGTTTACCTCATTTCACTTTTTTGTGGGGTAAATATTATTGTTTTGTTATCCTGACCTGGAAACACCTGGAGAAATTTTCAACATGTATAATGAAAAATACTGATAATGTTATACTGTATGCAGGAAGAATGTATGCTGTATTTTGAAGTGCACTCTTCCAAACACTTTTTGTTTTATTGTTAATTTGTAGACTTCATCAACTACAAAAATATACTACAGGAACATTGCCAGAAGAATAGATTTGATACTCCGAAATATGAATCCACAAAAATCCAGGACAATCCGGCACAGTTTACCACTGTGCTGACCTACAAGACACTTGGGAATACAGTGAAATACTCATCTGAAGGCCTAACTCATAGTAATAAGAAGGAATCTGAGCAGAGTGCTGCAAAAGTTGCTTGCCTTGGTTTAGACTTAGTCTCGTCAGACACCACAAAGAGTCCAACTAAACCTGTGTCAACGCAACCTACAAACAAGTGTGACGTAAAATCACAGATCAGTGCATCACCAGTAGAGAATAAGCAGCAAAAGAAGTTAACTTTGGTGTCTTCACCTCCAAAAAAAGCAGCAGAAGATGCACCAGAATGTCATCAACCTGCACCTACAAGTTCACCGGATGGTAAGTGTACCTATGCATTGTGTATATATTCTAAACATAAGTCGCTATATAGAAAATGAAAAAAAAAATACCCTCATTCTGTTTGAAAATTACATATGGACAGTATGGCATACATATTAACCTCAATTGCAATATACCCATGAATTGAATTTGTGGAGTGGCTATATTTTGACTTTAAAAAAAATATTATACCATAAGTTATATCTCTCCAGGGAATATACACAATAAATAAAGATGCCTGAAATAAATTCAAAAATTATTTAAAAACCCAGAAGTTTACCAATAAATTCACATATTTAACAGCTCTTATCAAAGTCCCTGAAATACTGTTATTATAAGCACGACATGGAACCATTTTGACAGTTCAACAATTAACAGAGATCAGAAATAAAACCACAATTTGTTTGCCCACAGTGGCACAGATCAGTACCTAAACCACATAGTGGCCGTCAAATATCAAAAATACTGTGAGCCGCACAGTAAGTCGCTTTTATTAGCTCTGCTGTTGACTTTGTTAAGCGGAACTTATCATATGAGTGATTGTTTGTCGTCATCTGTCGTCCATCGTTCGGCGTTCGTCGTCCGTGTCAATGTTTTACTTTTTCGACTTCTTCTTGAAAACTACAAGCCTGAATGCTTTGATACTTAGTGTATACATGTATGTACCTTGGGTAGACCTCTCTCAGATTTGTTCATTTTGTAATGATGTCTTTAATTTTCTAATTTTGGTGAATATTTTTGTCATTTTTGGTAAAAAGTGATATTTTCGACTTCTTGTTAAAAATCACAAGTCCAATTGCTTTGATATTACATATATAGGTACTACATGTGGACCACTCTCAAATTTGTTCATTTCATGATATCTTCAATTCTCTAATTTTGATGAATATTTTTGTCATTTTTGGTAAAAAGTGATATTTTCGATTTCTTGTTAAAAACCACAATCATTTATGGTGAAAAATGATATTTTTGAATTTTTGTGGAAAACAGCAAGTCCCATTGCATTGATACTATGCATATTGTTAATTTTCTAATGATATATACTGTTCTTTAATTAAAATGTGCATTGCTAACAGCGGAGCTATCTCAGCCGAGAGGCTGCTTGTTAAGTCATAGGACTATTTTGATGCTGCATAATACACCAGACAGCTGTCAATAAACTTTATTTGAATCAGTGACTATGAATTTTGTAATAGTGTCATCTGTTTCAAAAACAGAAATAAATAAAGAAACTGATCCCATTTATAGACAGCCAATACACAACAGCTACACACACAACAGGAAATACCTAGTTTTCAGAGAAATAATTGATATTTTGGTTTAATGTTCAGTAATTATATTCTGGTACTCTAATGATTGTCAAGTAGAAGCTATGTATACATTCGTCAATCTGACACTTTGTGATGAATATTTTTACTGTATTTCAAATTATTTTCATTTGCATGTAGGTTCTGCGGTAGTACAAGACAACTACAAAGGGAAATTACAAGAGTTTTTAACGAAGGCTGGTGTAACCAATAGACCTGTGTATGAAACTACCCAAGTTGATATGAAATTCATTTCCACATTCAAATTGGACACTAAGTATGCAATTCAGACCACAACACCATTTGAGAGTAAGAGGAAAGCCGAAGAACATTTGGCAAAGCAAATTCTACAAAGTTTAAAAATTGAAACACAAAATGTTACTAGTTTTAAATCCAGATTAAATGAGATTGATCCAAAAACACCAGCAAAGTATATCACAGAGGTGGTCGATCCAAATGCACTCTCAAAAACATTCAAAAGTTTGGTTATTTCCAAAACTATTGTGGATGATCACCAAATTGAGTTAAAAGGTGACATGTGTAATTCAAAGAAAAGAGCAGAGCAAAATGTTGCTGCTTCGGCACTAGCATTTATTGAGAAATATTTAAGTGAGTTTCTCTTAGAAAAGTGAATGTTTCATTGTCTTCTTGTATTTTACAAAATAACCCAATTTAGATTTAGAATATAAATACAAATGTATGATAAATGTGATAGACTATTTTTGAACGTATAGTAATTGTGACAGTGGAAAATATATTGTAGAAACAAAATTGTAATTGTAAATGAATAAAATATAAAAGATCATTTGTCTTTTCTTGAGATATGAGCTAAGTATATGTAATAAATCTGTGTTCCTTCATTGTATGTACATAATACAATTGTAGTACAAACTATCATCTTGTAGTCGTGGTCTCTGTAGGATGGGCTCCTTTACAGATGACTGTAGGAGGAGCACTTTCTTTTTAAATGTATTATGGACTCCAGACAAGTTTTTGTAATTTATGTATTTTAATTGTCCCGTCTATGGAGGCCTTGTATCATGATAGTCTCCATATCTACATGTTGGATACATCATTAGACTTGCTTGCAGTCTGTTGCGATTCCGATGAAAAAATCTTGAAAAATTAATATAAATTGCGTAAACAAGAGGTGAACGTGAATGTCATGTGACCCAATTTATGTAAATGACGAACCAAAACGAATTGTGGTATAAGATCTATAACTTATTCCAAGGAATTTTATTAATGAATGTAATTGCAGTGCATTGAAACATTTGTGCAATTAAATGATGTTTAAACAGATATGATAATGTTTTTTGTGTGTGTTGGAAGATGCAGTATGATGCAGTGGCATGTTAATCGAATGATTTGTAGTTAGGAGTGTCTTGTATATGTTATATTCGAGGGCACATGCTCAAAGCACTTCACACACGTTTGAAAAGTTGTTCAATTCAGTATCATGTATAATTTCAAATTTATTAAAATGGCGGTTACGGGAAATGAGTATTTGATACAACCAGTATTACAGGTCAATTATTAGTCCCCGTTCGGACGCAGTCCGAAAACGGGGACTTATGTTTTGACGTGCGTGCGTGCGTCTGTGCGTGCGCCCGGACCTGTATCTTAGAAATGCCTGGACCAATCACAATCAAACTTCACACATACATCATACATGATATTATACATATGCACATCAATTTGTTTCACGATCTGATTCATGATGGCTGAATGGTGGCCATTTTTGTGCTAAAAATCATCGAAATCAAGCATTTCTCGGCTATTTACAGATGGATTTTGTTTAAACTTGGTATATACATTATACATTATAGGACCTTGATGCACTTCATTTTGTTGCACGACCTGATTCAAGATGGCCGAAGGGCGGCCATTTTTGTACTAAAAAATCCTAAACATCAAGCATTTCTCGGCTGTTTACAGATGGATTTTGTTCAAACTTGGTATATACATTCGACGTTATGGGACCTTGATGCAAATAATTTTGTTGTTCAGATAAGATTCAAAATGGCCGACTGGCGGCCATTTTGTTTTAATGAATGTGGCTCTTGTGTCATATCTCTGACTTGTTTTCACTGATTATATTCAAATTTGAAATATTCATTATACATGATGTCATAGATAGACAGATATATTGGTTTGACGATCCTATTCAAAATGGCCAAATGGTGGCCATTTTTGTGCTAAAAAAATCA